TTTCCCTAGATAAAGCTAAGCCAATGGATAAAAGTAAGAAAAAGGTCGAGAAAGAAAAGGATAAAATATCAGATGCTAGTGTTAATAAGGTAAATATGCACAAAAGGGGCGGAAACAACAAGAAAGACTTGCACCCTAGAATCCTTGCAATTGGATATGAATGGGTTAGAGGAGATGTTGGTAAATGTGGTAGTAGATTTAAAACTTTGAAGGAGGTAAGTGTATTGCAGCGTAGGTTAAGGTTTTACCCTTCTCCCTTTTTAGAGCAGATTGTTATTGAATCTTGTTCCTCGAACGAACGGGTGTTTTTTAGTAATGTAACATCGTCCCCTTTGCATATACATGTACCAATGTATTTTTAAGAATTTAGGTGTGTTAATTCCCTTTACTTCCTTCGAGTATGAGTTTCTAAAGAAAATCAACATAGCTCCTAGCAATTGCACCCAAATAGTTGGGGTTTTCTTCGTGCCTTCCAAGTATTATGTTCGATTCTGAATATTGAATTAAGTTTGACGAGGTTTATGTATTTTTATAAGTTAAAACTTGTTGAACCACTTTTTGGTTGGGTGTCACTGAGTGGGAGCTTGAAGGGAGGACTATTTCAAATCTTCTCCCAATCTTATAAAAATTTTAAAGAATAATTTTTTAAAGTACGTTTTGTATGTGAGGATCCAAACTCGGATTCAATTTTTCATTGGAACGGTGAGCCAAAGTTTACTTTCTATTGGCATCACAACCTTTGAAGTTCTCCGGTTCAGGAGGCTCAATTTTAACACCCTTCGAGGAGAAAGATATAGAAAAATTACAATTATTACCTCAACCCTTAGAAAGAAAGGTTGTCCTATCACTTTTTAGATCAAAAAATCTTCAAGATGAATTAGAAAGTAAGTAATGGTAAAGTTGTTTGTAGTTGAGTAGTAATTTTATTTGATTAATCATATGATGGGTTACTTTTGATGTTTAGAGATCATGAGGAAGAGTAGGTGGCGTGAACTAAAAGCCAAGTTCAATATTGAAGAGATAGAAATTCACGATGTTGATTGCCCTTCTCGTAAAGGGAAAAACCAAAGGACTAACGACTGAGTTGAGGATAAAAAACAAAAAACTGACAACCAGGTTGTTGAGTCAAGTCATCAAGGTGAAGTGACTACAAATGTTTTCGATATTCCCAAGTCTAATATCGGTCATGAAGATACGAACATGGAAACCATCAACGAACTTGACTAAGAAGTATTAAGTACTAATTTTACCTTAAGTTCATCTATAATTTTGCAAAAGAATATAATTTCTAATTTATTATTAACTATTGTGGATCTTGAAGTCGAAAGAAACAACTACTCTTACTGGTGAATCAGAGAATTTAATGTCAAGTCTGCAAGAGCCAATTGCTCAATTCAAGTTTTTATCTCCATCAACGCAAGTAGGACCATCTTAGGTCAAACAATCTTCTCGGCCAAGAACATTGCACCAGAGGTATGACTCGAATTATCCTCTTGGCAAATTGGACCATATAAGTATGTCTCCTGACGTTAGTTCACTTTGGAATGCCAAGCTTACTTTGGAAGCCTTCTATAAAGAGGATCCTACATACATTCCTGATAAAGAAATGATCGAAAAAGTTGGTCCAGTACAAGGGTTGGATTCTGTGCAAGTGTTTATACAGAGGTTTATATTTGTGCTTGATCATTGGAAAAAGAAATGGGAAAATAATGTTGCGTAATTAAATAAAATGAAAGTAGAAAATGCTCAAGTTGGCACCCTAAATACTAAATTAACCGATGTGAAGATGAAAATATTGACTGAATCAATGAAAGTTTTTGACATATCAATAAGATCTAACAAATCCTACTTGGCAAAGGTGGAAGTCTTAAACAAGATTAAGGTTGTGGAAAAAGAAAAAGAAGTGCAAGGGAAGGAATACGCAGAACTAGAAATTAATATAAAAGAGAATGAGCAGAATATCCAAAGTCTACAAGATGAACTTCAAATGCTGAGAGAGAAAAATAAAGCTTTCCAAGATGTGATAGTTGTTGATATGAAAAGGATTGTTGATCTAGACAACAAGAATAAAAGATTGAGTAAGGAACTTTCGGCCACAAAAATTCATGTCATTACCAAACATAAAAGGGGATTTTCTAAAGCACTTCGGAAAATCAAGATAGTTGCTCTGGAAATTGATCTTTAAGAGCTTCTTGTTGATAAGGATGTGCTTGATGGAAAATTAGTCAATAAAGATGATTTGCCAGAAGATGTTAGCAGCGAAGAAGGAAGCGAAGACTATGTTGAGAAAGATAAAGAGTGATTTTATGCTTGTTATCATATTTTGGATTTTCTAGGAATTACTTTTTGTAAGAATGGAAATGTTCTATATATATTTGTTTAGAAACTTTTCATGATAATATAATGATATTTGATTTTGTGTTTATTTAATGGGTGCCCCTAATTATCTATAAATTGAGTGGATAAAACAATTAAATTGGCTTCACAATAAGGAGAATGGATTTCAATTTAATGATAGTGTTGAGTTAGACAAAGTAATTCCCAGCAAGGTTTTGAATGAGACAAATATAATACATGTTGTTATTTCTAACGAGTGTGCTAGTGTTTCAGAAAAAACATAAGTACAAGCAAGATGAAGACTAAAGCATGTGCCACCTCCTACACCCAAATCAAGATAAAGGGTAAAAGCTACAAGGCATCAGATGAAGAGATCAAATGAAACCAAGCCCAGCACAAGAAGGAAAATAATGAAGCCTTAGATGATACAAGACCACAGATGATGGATATACACAAGACGAAAGGAAAAGTCAAAGTATACCTCTCAGATTGAGACTTAAATTCCAAACACAGACAAAGAATATTGAAAAACATCTGAAGTCCACTAAGTCACAATGAAAAGTATTGCTTATCATCCACACTCTCAGAAGAACACATAAAGTCATCAAAAATAGAAGAAGAGAGAAGAAAAATGGACTAGCACAAATCCACAAGTCAAAGTTGCATGTTTCAGAGCAAGTACACCTACCATTCAGTAAAAGACAACGCCTTTGCAGCTACAATGCCAGGAAAAGTACAAATATACCTAGGTTACGATTGAAGTCAGACATAGAAGTGAACAAACGGTACAAAAGACTTCACATAACTCAAATTTGGAAAGCAAACATTTAATGCAAGATCAAATGCATTAAATACAAGATCTACGAAGCCTGGACGAACTAAACAAGAAAATCAGATGATGGTTGGTTAAGCAACAAGACTAGGCGAGACCTACTACAAGTCGAAACCTTGAAGTATCAGATAAAAGGCAAAAACAAGGCTAAATATAGAACAAGACAAAAATGGGTTAAACATCAAATGAAGCCCAATGGTCAACTTAGATAAAGAATAGTCAAGGCAAGGCACATCATGAGAATCAGACAAACCAAGCCAACTAAATAGAT